TCACCCAACTCCCCACTCCCCTCCCCTCCAAAAATCCTCAGTTTGTTTCTCAGAGTCCACAGTCTCTCATGGTTCGTCTCCCCCTCCAATTTCCCCAAACTCACTTCTCTCCATCTCCCCATGTCCTCCGTATTATTCCTTATGCTCCACAAATAAGTAAAACCATATGATATTTGAGTCTTTCTGCTTGACTTATTTCACTCAGCATAATCTCTTCCAGTCCCATCCATGTCGATACAAAAGTTGGGTATTCATCCTTTCTGATGGAGGCATAATACTTCATAGTGTATATGGACCACATCTTCCTTATCCATTTGTCCATTGAAGGGCATCTTGGTTCTTTCCAAAGTTTGGTGACTGTGGCCATTGCTGCTATGAACACTGGGGTACAGGTGGTCCTTCTTTTCACTATGTCTATATCTTTGGGGTAAATACCCAATGGCGCAATTTCAGGGTCATAGGGAAGCTTTATTTTTAATTTCTTGAGGAATCTCCACACTGTTCTCCAAAGTGGCTGCACCAACTTGCATTCCCACCAACAGTGTAAGAAGGTTCCCCTTTCTCCACATCCTCTCCAACACATTGTTTACTGTCTTGTTAATTTTGGCCTTTCTAACTGGTGTAAGGTGGTATCTCAATGTGGTTTTGATTTGAATCTTCCTGATGGCTAGTGATGATGAACATTTTTTCATGTGTCTGTTAGCCATTTATATGTCTTCTTTGGAGAAGTGTCTGTTCATGTCTTCTGCCCATTTTTTGACATGATTATCTGTTTTGTGTGTGTTTAGTTTGAGGAGTTCTTTATAGATCTTGGATATCAGCTCTTTGTACTGTCATTTGCAAATACCTTCTCCCATTCCATGAAACTTCTACTTTAAACCCTACCTTACACTATTAACAAAAACAAAACAAAACAAAAAATCCATATGATTTCAGATTTAAAAAGTGAACAGTGAAACAAAAAAGATTTTAGAAGAAAACATACAATATCTTCATGATCTTGGAATAGACAAACTTCTTAAGCAAAATATGCCAACTATGAAAGAGAACATTGATTTACTATATTAAAATTAAGAGCTTCCTTTCACCTATATATATACACATATATACACACACATACACATCTATATATGTGTATGTACAAACACAACTATACACATATATACATACACATATATAGATGTATAGATATATATATACACTTCAATACATATCTATATATGTATAGATACATCTATATATATTTTCAATACATTCTCACAATACATTCAACAGATGACTTGCATCCAGAAATGATATATTTTTGAAAACCACAAGTCAATACAAAACAGTCCATTCAATAGAAAAGTGGGCAAGAACCTGAACAGACATGTAACAAGAGGATAGTCAAAATGCAATAATCATATGTAATGTGCTTGATCTCATTAATTATAGTAAAATGAAAACTAAAGCCACAATGAGAAACTGCTACATGCCAGCCAGAATAAAATGAAAAAGAGAAGACACTACTGAGTGTAGGGCAATTGGAATTTTGGAAAACTGGCAGTATCTAGTACAGCTGAATTATGTACATACTGTGGCCCTGTAATTCCGCTGTTAGGCAGAAATGAGTACCTATGTGCACCAAATTCATGTACTAAATATTTGAGGCAGTACTATTAATAATAGTTCTGAAACTGGGAATGAACCAAACACCCATGTGATAAATATATGGTTTATTTATGCAGTGGAATACTATACAGCCACGAGAAGGAACCACATACAAATACATGCAACAAAAACCTTACAAACACAATGTACAGCAAATAAGCCAGATACAAGAGAATACATACTATTTGATTCCATTTATATTATGTCCAAAAACAGACAAAAGTAATCTATGTTCTTAGAAGTCAGAGAGTGGTTACCCTTGGGGAGGTAGTAACTGGTAAGGAACATGAGGGGGCCTTCTGGGGTGGTGGTAATAGTTTGTTGATTGAAGTGATGACTGTATTGCACTCTATTTGTTAAAAACCAAAGACCTGTGCATGTTATACTTCAAAATTAATACAAAATGATTTGCTTCTGCCTAGGTAATCCACTCAGACTGAAGAAACGATTCCTTCTCTCTTGGCCTCTTCATTCAGCTATACTCACACTTGTGCTCCCACCTCTTTCTACTTCCCAATGGTGAGAGTGGGAAAAGAACCATTCCCCACCCCCTAAGATGCAGACTAAACTAGATTTGCTACACGACTGGTTGCTAAAGGAGCAGGTCTACCACAATGTGAAGTCCAATTCTATCTTTGCCCTCCTGCCTATTGATGACTCACTTTTTACCCTTGGTTCCTAAGTACACTCAAATGCCCTCCTGCTCTCTCTGCCCCAAGGCCTCTTACACAGGATATATGTTCCTCTCAGGGGACACTTACATAAGTATCAAAGGTTGTTCTGTATTTTTTTAATTAAGATTTTATTTGAGAGAAAACATGCATGTACACAAGTGGTGTGGGGGGTGGGATGCAGAGGAGACGCAGGCTCCCCTCTGAGCAGAGAGCCCAACACGGGGCTTGATCCCAGGACTCCAGGACCATCACCTGAGCCGAAGGCAGACATTTAATTCAATGAGCCACCCAGGTGCCCCAAAATAAGTATCAAAAGTTTGAACCTAAAGGTGGGAGCACCATCCACTTAACATTTCAAGTTGTGGGTAGTGAATGGGTGAGAAGTCGTCTGGATTTAATACTCCTTGAGGTGTGTAACATGGCATTGGATTGCAGGCTTGACTTGTCTTGGTCAAGTACTCTGTACTCTGTACTCTTTCTGTGCCTCAGTTCCATTATTAAAACAGAGCTTAGTTCATATACTTATAAGGATCAAAATGAATTAACACATATGAAAGACTTAGAAAAGTAATTGACTTAAGCAGCTTAATAAATGTTGTCAACCTGGCTTTATCCAAGGTATGCTGTCCCCAAGGAAGCATGGCTCAGGATGAATCTAAGAAGCAGAGGGCTTAGGGGCTAAACCAGAAGTCTCCCCAAACTGAGAAGGGTACTTTTGGGTGTCCCACACTTGCTTAATATTGCAGTGAGGAGCAGAAGCCCATGCTTCAGGATTACGTGGGAGCAGAAAAGAAATTGAGAAGGTGAAGAAGAGCTGGCTGTCCCCCAGCCTAGTCACATGTATCACTAAATAAGTAAGTGTAGGAGCCACTGCACTGACTGCCTTCAAGGAATCAGGAATGTTGCTCCATCAGAGGGTGAGAAATGAAGAAACTTATCAGTTATGTAGTATTTGACATAACAGCATCTAGGGAGGTGGTAACATCTCCATAGACGTATGCTTCCTCTTTGACCAAAGGCCCAGTAAATACCACAGACATTTTGGTAGAATTATTATAGGACTCTGGTCCCTGGATCTGGCCTTAAAGACCCAGACCTGGCAGTTAACTGGCTCACAATACATACAAAGCCTGGTAGACAACAAAAAGTTTATCAATAATGAAAAATAATATTCAGTTGCTAGAGTATTTGCACTGGCAGAGCTACACAAGAAACCACATCTTCACTAGGATGTTTGAAGACTTAGCAAAATAACATATCAATAAGCTAAGACAGGCTGAAGAACACATCCCCACAAGAACTAATGTGACAGGAGATCTGGACCTCTGATACCTGACAATGCTTTCTCTACCTCTCCACTGTTGACCAACATTGCACACTGGCTCAAACCCCATCACTTTGCACACCTCTGATGCCCTAATAATGCTACTAACATGAATTTAGGCAGCAATCACATTTCCTCAATTTTTGGGTTTGGGGACAGGGTAGGCTAGGAAACTCCGTACTGGTAATCTACCTTTTAGAGTCATTACACACCTTAGTTAATAGAAGTCAAGATCTCTAATTGATGTCTTCTCTCCTTGAAAGCAAATTTCTTTGGGGAGTCACCCTGGAACCAGAGGCTCGGTGGACACTGGAAGAGCAGTCATTACCCGCAGACAGCTGCAGCGTGCAGGTTAGGACACCTCCCCTTTGGATGCAGCTGGAAATAGTTTGTTTCCCTGAAAATGATGTCTACGTGGTGCCTCTCCTTTAGTGTACTCTAGGCCCAAAGAATTCAACTTGAGCATTCTTTGTTTATACCACAATCCAGCCATGTTCCCAGACCAATCCTTCCAATCTGCAGGCCGTGTCCTCCCCATAAAGGGCTGGTTTGATTCTCATTTCACTTTCATCCGCAGAGGACAAACTGGAGTGCCTGTAATCACTTTCATCAACTTCACATCATGGACCCGATAGTGAAGAGCCATGCCCCCTCCCTAATAATTATAAATCTTGAACGGAAAATTCCCAAACATTTAGACAGTGGGGTGTGGAGGTGGGAGGGTGTCCTCTCAGCTTTTACCTTGGTGATGGGCAGAATCCACCTTTTCCGAAAAGTTCTTCTTGAGTCCCTGCCCAGACCTTTAGCTGTAGCAGGAAGGCATCAGGGAGCACAGTGAGGAGGAGAGGCGGCCAAGAGAACAAGAAAGCTCATGCAAAGGGCAATGCCATAACTCTGCATCCTCTGGGGGTGGCTCATGTGCTTCCTGTACACACAACAGCTTGCTTCGCTCCGAGCGAAGACACTGGCTCAGTCCACCTGGGTTTCCTTTACTCCTTTCTACCCCTTCAGTGAAGGTCCCGGGGTACTCCACCATCCTTTTCTGCTTTGTATTACCACCCATCACTCCATCCTTCAGGAGATCCTTCTCTTCCACAAGTCATCCATGGGGTGGAAAGGCCAAGAGTCTAAAAATGTTTTATTACTTGTTTAAAATTATCCAAGACCATTAAATGAAAATGATGATAGGAAATAATAAAGAAGCCATATCCTCTATCAAACTATCAAAATACTTTCTGGAACTTCCCCCAGAATTAAAATAAACCTGGGTGTGTATGTAACACTAAGAGCTCACCATCCCCACCTCCCAGCACCATTACCAAACCTTTGTTAGCTAACGGCAGCCACCATAGTCAGAAATACTATTATTTATTTCCCCAAACGGCTTATGGCAAACCACCACTAAGGCTAAAAGACTTAACTTTTATAAACTGGTAACAGTACGGAGATTGACAAACACACAAGAAACAGAAATTAGGTAACCTGTGTTCTCTTGTTAAAAGGTCTGTTACTCTGACACCGTGAATAATCAACATATATAAACAAATTTTAAACAAGTACTCTGGATAAGTACAGAAAGTAATGTCTTTTAAATTCATGCATTAAATAAATGATTTTTAGAAGAATATGCAATAATTGCTCTGTTTTGTTCTTTTTAAGTTTTTCACTACACTTAAATACTGGAAAGTTTTTTTAAACAGTAAAATGTAAAGTAAGGACAAGGGTTCACCTAAGTGTGAACCTAGGTTTGTGAACAGTTCTGGAAGAGAAGTCAAGCAAGAAGCCAGGGCTGGAAACAGTCAACAGTTCTGAAATGGCAAATTCAAGTTCTGAGCGGTGATGGGATGCTGGAGCCTACGGCACAAAGTATGATGTTGTAATGGAAGAGCAGGTACCGCTTCTCTCGGGGCTGAAGGGGAGGAACACAGCACATAGTGCCGGTAAGCTGTATCTAACGTCAGGGAGAATTCATCTGAAGTCTGCTTTTCAGCTTCCTTTCACCTTCCTTGAATCCTCCTATTGCAGTTCCATACATCTCTCTGAGGAAAATGTGCAACAGGTTCACATGGGACAGGTTTTCATTAAGTCATGGAAAAACAACTATGGCATTTTCATTCAATGAAGAAAGGGAAATCTGTCTAATTACATTCTTGATAACTAGAAACATTATTGGTAAGGAAGGAAATTCTTAAGATAAAGCCCCTAAAATCTGTAACAATTTTATGCTGGCATATAAAACATTCTAACCAGTTCCAGAATTAGATCATATTAGCAAATAAAGTAGTTAGTATTTATAATGAAATGTAGTAACTGGCTAAAATTCTAGGTAAAAAACTTTCATGGCCATCTAAAATTTTGTTTTAAACATACAACTTTAGCGATATATATTGAGCACATTCAATTAATTGTACAGAACACAATCCATTTAATCTTGAAAAACACTAGATAACAAAACTACAGAAATGAGCACAAAACCCCATAAACCAGTATGCTCCCTCAGCAATTCTACAAGGGCAATGAATTTAATACTGTAAACGAACATTGAACAAATCAGAGCACTGTGGAAAGAGTTCAGCAGCTCTAACAAGTCATACTATAATTTTTATGCGCTAGGAGAGTAGTGAGGCAAATGGAATTCTTAACATTACTTAAAAATAGATTTTTAAAGACAAAGGTCCCAACTCATTCTTATATACACACACAAAAGTTCATCTGTCACAGACAGCAAATGTTGAATTTACACACTGGAGTTTCCGGCAGCATCCTGCACATTTAGAGTAATTACAACAAACAAACAGAAAGTTGTCAGATCTAGAATGGAGCGTTCAAATCTGCACAGGATGGGACACGGCTGTCCTGGGACTACTGCGTATGTGCTCACCGCTGCTTCTCAAATGCAAAAACCAAGTAAATACCTAAAAAGAAAATAATACAAATTAGAGTTTGATTTCTCATATCTGTAGGCTAACAGAACAATTTCAGTCCTGTTTGGAATTTGGTGAAAATTCTCAAGTTTCTGAGAGGAAAAATCCCAGTATTTCTAAGAGTCCTCAATTATTTTGAGTCATACTTAAGCAGATACGGGGTCATAGCTATTTACCTGAAAACAAATATCCACGTATTATAATACTCAGCAACATTATAGATCTTGAGAAAGCCAACTCAATGGTTCTAAAAATCTCTAAAAACAGCTTGAGATAAGAAAAATTAAAAGTATAAAGGCAAAGAAAATTAAAACTAAAAAATCTTACAACTTAATTCTTTTTATCTGGAGCAAGACAGGTAGAATAACCGCACTACCATGATTACTTCTGGCACTGGTTACCTAGATTTTCTATTTGGGGGGGGAAAATTAGTAAGAATTATAAGGAACATATGTAACTGGCAAGTTAAAATTCATCCAATTATCCAACTGTTTTCTACTGTAAGGACTGATAAGGAAAGTGAGCCAAAAGCTACATGATAACTGATGCTTAGAGGTATTTATCTGGCCCCAACAGTGATATTCCAGTCCCAAGAATACTCTCCCTTAAATATGATTTCCTGCTTTGGCATGTGTTCACTCAAAGAGATCTAAGTGCATCTATAATTCCTCATTCTGGATCACACTGAAGTTCAAACCTATTATATCTTCTAAAAAGATACTAATAAATTTTATGGTAAGCAAACACCTGAAAAAATGACAAATCCTCAGAACATCACAAGGATATTCAGCGTGTACACTAGGACATTCAGTCAGTGAGTCAAGATAGTAGGCCATGTACCTTGGTGCCCTCCCTTTCTGAGTTAACTTCTGAACAGGGTGCAGATGAATGACTGCAGATCATGTAAAAACCTCCCAATCCTCTAGCTTTTTCCTCAACCTGTCCAGGAATATGACACCAGTCCTTCCAAAATGCTATTTTAGTAATGCTATTCTGTTTCTTATCTACTAGCTCCCAATTTCTTTTAGGAGAAATGAAACATTGCTGGTAATACAGTAGACAAATGGACAGAGAACAGGCAGGGTGATATCAACATGGTAGATTCTTCTGGAAGACAAGAAGGCAAAGCAGACCAAGCTCACAAGCATGTCACAAGACTCAGAAGCAGACAGCATTATTTAGCGTGGCCCTCACTCCAAGCAATCCCTCTGCAGTCCAACCTTGCCAAAATCACCCCAAACACACTAGTACCTACTGCAAACCCAGCAACCCTCACCTATCTTAAATCTAGGGTCATTTAAAAACCACTCAGATGCAATGTTTGAATTCAGACCAGCAATAAATAACATTCTTTCCTTTCTAACTCAAACATTCTGAAAGTCTAATATAAAATGCCTTCCATGTAGGCCTATCAATTGGGATTTAAAGAAATAAACACTGAACCACTACTAAAAGCAAATCAGCGGGAACCTGGGTGGCTCAGTTGGTTAAGCAACTGTCTTCGGCTCACGTCATGATCCTGGAGTCCCCGGATTGAGTCCTGCATTTGGCTCCCTGCATCATCGGCAGGGAGTCTGCTTCTCCCTCTGACCCTCCCCATCTCATGCTTTCTCTCTCTCTCTCATTCTTTCTCAAATTAATAAATAAAATCTTAAAAAAAAAAAAAAAGCCAGTTGGCAACAATTCTTCATGTTCCTCTCCCATTTAAAGAATCTTCTAGAGGAGCAGCAGGTTCTGGTAATAGGAACTTAACGATTAGACCAGCAGGAGTTTGAAGTATAGCTTCTTGAACTTATTAGGCTATGACACCAGAAAAGATGCTCTCCAGTCCACAGAGCCCTCCAGTTTAGAAGAGTATGATTCATCAAAGAACACACTAACCCGGACAAACTGGATCCTGGCTGCAGTGTGACCACTGTTCCTTGCCTACTGCTTTTCACTTCTCTAAGCCATCTCCGTCCTTGGTCTGGGGGGCATCTAATTTATCCAGTTGCATGCTATCACTAAAGTCCACACTAAGGTACAGAAATGCATTTTTCTAAACTACAGCTAGGACCACCAGCACTACTTGTGACCAAAGCTGTTTTCCTTACATCATAGTTTGGGAGTGGCAGGCTATCTAAGAGAACTGTGCCATCTCCACTCTAGGGAAAGTAATGAAATGTACAGGTTTAGGCATATATTTCCCAGTCTGTTGGTCCTCTAATCCCATTTCCACTAAGGGTAGCAATATTCTGAGACAGACAGGCTAAATATACTGGCTCTATTTGTGTTCTTTCCTTCTCCTCTCTCTCCAATTCAGCCAAGTCCTAGCACAACCCTTTCACACATGAAGCCATGGTTACAAGTATGAATCACCTGGGTAAGCTCTGAGATCTCAGACAAGTTATCAAAGTGCTTCTTTTAATCTGTGAAGATACTACAAAAAGTAGCCTACCCCTAAGTTTGTGAGGATTAAATGAGTTAAAACATATGAAAACTCTCCAGTCATGCTTGAGCACGTGTTACTCAATTATATCAGCTATTACTATTTCCCAGATTTTACTGCTTTTCCTTACGCTCTCCTTCATCCCTTTTCCCCATTATAGAAACGTCAGCACTTCAAACAGTTTGCCTAGTACTGCCTCTATCTGTGTCTGTTTCTTCCATTAGACAGTATACATCTGGAAAGTAGAGATTACGACTCTATTGTTTTTTATTCCCCCAAAGCCCTTTCAAAGAAATTTACATAATAACTCAACCGTTATCAAACAGATTGTCTCTGATTACCACTTATGCCTTCAACAGAGTTAACAAATACTTAAATGAATAAGAAAACTACTTTTTATGTCCTCAGGGCAGCCATATGAGGGTATTATCATCATCTTAACACTGAGGGTCTGGGCTTTCACTTCCTCAGCATCCACGGACTTCACAGATTTGCCAGGCCTCTGACTTCTCTTCCAAAGACAGGCACCTCACTTCAGCATGTCTCCATACCAGGCCCTTCCCAATCACACATCCCTTTAAAGTATCCTGCTCATTGCTGCTTCACTAAATGTTCTAGTACCTATTAATTACGCCTTTGTTGTCAATGTCAGAGTGGCTAGACAAGATACGTCGTAGTGTTCTAAAAGCCAGAATTTCCAACAGAAATCTGAGGTAAAGATAGCAAATACAGGTGGCTATGTAGTAATGAGTAAGCAATGAAAATGTTTAAGAATGCTCATGAAAGTTTATATTAAGGAACAGCCTGCATATATTTTCTCCTGGCACTAAACAGCTGTGCAAGAAAGGGGGCGTTAAACATACATAGGGATTCTATGTAAACATAAACACACACACCCTAATATGTGTTGGAAAAATTCCAAAGTTTTCAAATTTTAATGATCACTCTGAAACGATCTTTGAAAATGTCAGTTAATCTATATTGATGATATACTCACTTGTGGCTTCCCACTCCGACTTACTTAAGGTTCCCTGAAATTAAAGAAAAAGAAAGAACATTTTTAGATTGAATATAGAAGTACATAAATGCCTATTTTTCAATACTGCAGAGAAGTGCCCAAACACCCCCACTTCACTATAAATATAAGGTGACCCTTGAACACAGGTTTGAATTATGCAGCTATAGTTATATGTGTATTTTTTTCAACAAATAATCTAAATGTGTTTCCTTTTCCTTGTTTCTTTTTCTTTTTTTTAAAGATTTTATTTATTTATTTGACAGACAGAGATCACAAGCAGGCAGAGAGAGAGGGAAAGCAGGCTCCCCGCTGAGCAGAGAGCCCGATGCAGGGCTCAATCCCAGGGCCCTGGGATCGTGACCCGAGCCAAAGGCAGAGGCTTACCCACTGAGCCACCCAGGCGCCCCTCCTTTTGATTTTCTTAATAACATTTCTCTAGCTTACATTTTTGTGAGAATACAGCATATAATACAATACATACAAAATATGTACTAATTAACTGATCATGATATTGGAAGGCTTCTGGTCAACAGTTGTCTATTAGTTATTAATAGCCAACTATTAGAGTCATTAAGTCTGGAGTCAAAAGTTATAGGTTTACTTTTGACTACATGGGGAATCACCCCCACACTGCCCAAGCGCCAACTATACACATAATTTAATGTTACTATTATTGTGAACTAAATATGTAAAAGAAATAAATGAGATTTTAATGTTATCCTCTGAATTTTGTCCTCCTGCCTAATTCTCTAAACCACTGATTCTCAACCAAAGGGTGAATTTGTGTAAAGAGGGTACCTGTGCATGTGTGTAACTAGAAAAAGCATCTACTTATATTTTTAACTTGGAAAATGAAAAAATAAAAAAGCCTATCTTGAAACATCTAGTAGCATAGGAGGAGGGAATAAGATTTTTCATGCTTTTACAAAGGAATCACAAAATCCATATCATTCAAAGGAAATAAATTATGTTTAAAATAGTTACCAAAATACTAAAAAACACGTTGATATAGTCATATATATGCTGCTTTGCACATACACTAACAAGACAGAGTAACTAATACAATTTTGAAGAAGTGGTGAATATAAACGATAGTCTAAGATGTCCCCGCATATGTGTTATGCAAATATCTGTAATTTCTATTGATAGCAAAGTCACAGCTATATCTAATACCATTGTGGTACTACTGCATTCTTAATTAAAGAAAGCGTGAACTTCCATGTAGAAGTCAGTGAAAATGGAGATGTAATTTTTCTCCATGTAAGTTCATGAGCCCATGAATTTTATCTACGGAACACAATGAGTCAGCAGCGCCTAGGTTAAGACATAATGACATAGAAACTCTCCAATCAAGCTTGTAACTTTCTCCCCAGCCTTATCACTCCATTCTCAGTACTGACATATTTTCTTTTCTATTCTGTTTCTAAAAAGGGGAAATATACTGACACGTATCTGATTTGTAAACCAATGAAATCATTTCGTAAGTTTCCATAAAACATGAGCTTTTGTTTTTCATTTTCTGGAAAACATGCTACATGTGAAAACTTACCAGAGGTAACCTTACTCGACTGTTCTTCATGTACTCTGCTGCATGTTCATAGTCATCTATCTTCTCAGAGGCAAGTCTGGAATTCTCATTTGCTGGATATGGCTAGGGAAGCAAGTGAAATTCCTAGTTAGGAAATTAAATGAAACTTATAATTCAGAAGTAAAAGCAGTAAGTCACAGAAAAAAATAATTAAGAAAATAATCCTTAAGTATTATTTCAGCAATATAAACCACACATTCTTTTGAAATACAGAAAAAAAATGGGGGAAGGGGATCCTCTCCTAACAAAGTAGCTATTATCGACAGTCAACTTTAATGATAATCATAGAATATTTATAGTTAGACAAAACTGTACCATTTATTTAATCACCTCCAAGAATCACTTAGCAGCAAACACTTGCATCTCCCTGACTCCCAGGGAAAGACCTGTTCTGTTCTGACACAAAGCTGAAGGAAGTTATAATCGAAAGAGCTAAATATTAATTTAAACATTATGGTGATGTACTAGCCATCAGAAACATGAACAGAAATTATAAATAATACAAATGAAAAACTCAAAGTCCTGGTGGAAGATGGTGGTGGAGTAAGAGGCCCAGAGGCTCACCTCATACTATGAATTCAACAAAGTAACTATCAAGTCATCCTAAATACCCCAGGAATCAGTCTGAAGACTGGTAAAACAAACTCTACGACTGAAGGCAGAGAAGAGACCACACTGAAGAAGGTAGAAAATGCAGAGAGACGGTTTGGAAAAAGCAGATGGTGGCCACGCTGGTGGGGAGGAAGTTGCAGTCACTGAGAAGGGTGAGAAATAGACCAACACGCAGGGAAGCATATGGGGAAAACAAATCCTCACAGCATTTGGCTTGGAAAGCAAGAGGGCCTGAACTTCCTGAGTTCTTGCAACCAGCAAGGCTTAAAGCCTGGTCAGTGTGTTTGGATCTGGGAAAGCTCAGAGAAGGACATTGGGGCTGCTGTTGAAGAAAAAGCACAGAAACAGCCTGCAGACATATAACATGGAAACAGCAATCTGAAGAGTGCCTGGGGCAGGCAGTGGGAAGGTTAATTGCTCATCTCAGAACATGCCCAAGAGAGACAATGATCAGAGACTCCTCCAAGAATAAAGGAACTGGCTGGCATCATTTCCTTTCGTGGTCCCTCAGCATAAACACCAGCCACCTGTAGGAACCAGTACTTGTGAACACTCACTACCTAAACTGCTTATGACAATCTGACCCTGCCTACACTCTGGTGGAACGGCCCTTCCCAAGAACCCTTGCCTCAGTCCCACTGTGGTGGGCCCCCTTCCATAGAAAACGGGCCCAAACCCATACCCACACATCTGCCTACCTGGGTGTTTTGCAGGGCCTCAGTTCCAGCAGCAGAGCAAGAAGTCCTATCTCACAAGCAGACCAGAGCACATCTTGATAAAACACACATTCAAGCCAGGGAACAAATACTGCTCACAACAGGCAAAGACAGCCTCTGCAGATGACTAGTCTCAGGACAGAGAGACCAGGACACAACAGCAGAGCACACAAAACACACGCTGAAGACACTCCTGCACACACCAGGCCCTGGGGACCAAGGGGCACTATGCGGCAGAGCACTAGAGAACCTCTCTTCCTAAAGCCATTATCCTCAAGAACAGGAGATGTAGCTAACTTTCCAAACACAAAGAGACACAGACAAAATAAGAAGACAGAGAAATTTGTCCCAAATGAAAATACGACAAGGCCGTGGCTAGAGATCTAAATGAAACATATAAGCACATGCCTGATGGAGAATTTAAAGTAATGATCATAAGAATACTCATTTGACTTGAGAAGAATAGAGAACTTCAGTGAGACCATTAACACATATAACAGAGATATAAAGGGATTAAAAAACAAAATGAAAAACATGCATAATGGAATCAACAGCAGGCTGAAAGAAGCAGAGGAACAAATTAATGACCCAGAAACACAGTTGTGGAAAATAATCAAGCTGAACAAAAGAGAGAAAAAAAAATAAATAGAACAAAAATAAACTTAGGGAACTCAATAAATAGAACAAAAGTAAACTTAGGAAATAAATAGACCAAAAATAAACTTAGAACAAAAATAAAATAACATTCATTTTATAGGTGTCCTAGAAGGAGAGAAAAAGGGGCAGATAATTTATTTGAAGAAATTAACAGGTGAAAGTTCCCTACTCTGGAGAAGGAAGCAGATGTGCAGATCCAGAAGCACAGAGAACCCCCATCAAAATCAAGAAAAGCAGATCCACACCAAGGCATGCTGTAATTCTATTTGCAAAATACAGTAATGAAGGAAAAATATTAAAAGCAGCAAGACAAAAGAAGTCATTAACTTAGAGGGGAAAACCCATAAGGTTAGCAGGAGATTTTTCCATAGAAACTCTTGAAGCCAAAAGGGAGTGGAATGACATACTGAAAAATACTGAACGGGAAAAATCAGTAGCCAAGAACACTCTATCCAGCAAAGCTACCACTAAGAACAGAAGGAGAGGTTAAAGAGTTTCCCATACAAACAAAACTAAAGGAGTTTGTGACCACTAAACCAGCCCTAAAAGAAATATTAAAGGGGATTCTTCAAGTGGAAAAGAAAGACCAAAAATGACAGTATGAAAGTAGGAAACACAGAAGCAGTAAATATGAATGTTTCTGTAAAAACTCAGTCAAGGAACTCTCAAAATAAAAGGATATGAAACTGGACACCATATACCTAAAACCAGGGAAGAGTAAAGAATGGGTTCAAACTTAAACAACTATCAAATTAATATAGACTGCTATATGCAGAAGATATACACACACCTAATGGTAACCACATGTCAAAACCACTAATATGCAAGGAATAAAAAGAAAGAAATCCAAATATATCACTAAAGAAAACCTGAAAACTATGAAAGAAAGAGAAGAATCAGGGAAAATCTCCAGAAAGAACCACAAAACAAATAATAAAATGGCAACAAATACATAACCATCAATAATTACTTTGAATGGAAATGGACTAAACATACCAATCAAAAGACACGGGGTAACAGAATGGATAAAAAACAAGATCCATCTATATGCTGCACACAAGAGATTCATTTTAGTCCTAAGAACACCTACAGATTCAAAGTGAGGGGATGGAAGGGTGCCTGGGTGGCACAGTCTATTGAGTGTCTGACTCTTGGTTTTGGCTCAGGTCAAGATTTTGGGGTACTGGGATTAAGCCCCATATCAGGCTCTACATTCAGCAAGGAGTCTCCTTGGCATTCTGTCTCCCTCTCCCTCTGCCCCTCGCTGCTTCCCATTCTCTCTCTCTCTCTCACACAGTAAAATAAATAAATAGATCTTTAAAAAAAAAAAAGAAAGTGAGGGGATGGAGAAACATTTATCATACCAGTGGATGTCAAAAGATAGGGTAGTAGCAGTACTTATATTGCAAAAAATAAATTTTATTTTTTTAAAACTAACATATAATGTATTATTTGTTTTAGGGGTACAGGTCTGTGATTCATCAGTCCAACACAATTCACAGTGCTCACCATAGCACATGCCCTCCCCAATGTGCAATATATTTCAAAACAAAGACTATAATAAGAGACCAAGAGGGGCAGTAGATAATAATAAAGGGGATAATCCCCAAAGAAGTTATGACAATTGTAAATATTTATGCCCCCAACATGGAAGCACCCAAATACATAAAACAATTAATAACAAACATAAAGGAACTCACTGATAAAAATACAAGAATAGTAGGTAACTTTAACTGCCCACTTATATAAATGCACAGATCATCTAAACAGAAAATCAACAAGGAAACAGTGGCTTTGAATAACACAGCCGACCAGTTGTATTTAACAGGTATATTCAGAACATTCTATCCTAAAACAGCAGAATACACATTCTTTTCAAGTATACATGGAACATTCTCCAGAACAGACTGCACATTAGGCCACAGAACAAGCCTCAAGAAATTTAAAAAAGATCAAAGTCATACCATGCATCCTTTCTGACCAGAATGCTATGAAACTAGAAGTCAAGAAAAAATGTACAAAGACCACAAATGAAGGGAAGTTAAATAACATGCTACTAAACAATGAATAGGTCAACCAGGAAATAGAAGAAATAAAAAAAGTAAATGGAAACAAATGAAAACAAACACACAACAGTCCAAAACCTTTGGGATGCAGCAAAAGCGGTTCTAAAAGGGATGCTTATAGCAATACAGGCCTACCTCAAGAAGTAAGAAAACTCTCAAACAACCTAACCTTACACCTAAGGGATCTAGATAAAGAACAATAAACAAAACTAAAATCAGTAGGAGGATGGAAATAGTAAAGATCAGAACAGAAATAAATGAGGTAGAAACTAAAAAACAGCTAAACAAAAAGCAATGAACCTGGAAGCTGGTTCTTTGAAAAAAAATCAGTAAAACTGATAAACTTCCAGCCAGACTCATCAAGAAAAAGGACCCAAATAAACAGAATCACAAATGAGGAAGGCAAAGTAACAACAAACACCACAGAAATATAAGAGAACATTATGAAAAATTATATGCCAACAAATTGGACAACTAAGAAGAAATGGATCAATTCCTAGAAACCTATAACCTACCAAAACTGAAAAAGGAAGAAATAGAAAATTTGAACGTGCAAAGAAATTGAATCAGTCATCAAAAAACTCCCAACAAACAAAAGTCCAGGACAGATGGCTTCCATGCAAATTCTATTAAACATTTAAAAAAGAGTTAATATCTACTCTTCTCAAACTATTCTAAAAAATAGAAAAGGAAAACTTCCAAATTCATTCTATGAGGCCAGCATTGCCCTGATACAAAAACCAGAAAGACACCACACACACAAAAAGAACTACAGGCCAATACCTTTGATGAACACAGACGCAAAAATCCTCAACAAAATACTAGCAAACCGGGTTCAATAATATATTTTAAAAAAATCATTCACCAGGATCAAGTGGGATTTACTCCTGGGGTGTAAGGATGGTTCAATATTCATGAATCAGTTGTGATACATTACATCAATAAGTGAAATGATAAGAACCATGATCATTTCAATAGATGCAGAAAACACATCTGACAAAGTACAACATCCACTCATGCTAAAAACCCTCAACAAAGTAGGTTTAGAAGGAACCTATTTCAACAGAATAAAGATCATATATGAAAACCCAAAGCCAACATCATCCTTAATGGGGAAAAACTGAAAGCCTTTTCCCTAAGAGGTCAGGAACAAGACAAGTATGTTCACTCTGACCATTTTTATTCAGCATAGTACTATAAATCCTAGCCACAGCAATCGGACAACAAAAAGAAATAAAAGGGATCCAAATCACTAAGGAAGAACTAAAACAAGAAATGGACTTTTAATTACAGAAATAAATGGATGGTTACCGGAGGAAAGATAGTTGGGCAGGATGGGTGAAACAATGGGCAGGGATTAAGGAGTGCACTTGTCCTGATGAGCACTTGGTGATTAAAATGAAAACTTAAAAAAACAAAATACAGAAAAACAACTTGAGTCAACAGAGAACACTGTGAGTTCAAGAAGATAAGGAAAATAACCCAGCCTCTAAATTATGGGCAGTCTCCATATTTCACACACACACTGCTTTGTTGTTAAGGCTAAGTTGGTCAAATGTTTATTCAAATTACCTCAAGCATTATTTATTTTTTTTTAAATATTTTATTTATTTATTTGACAGAGAGAGATAGCAAGAGAGGGAACACAAGCAGGGAGAGTGGGAGAGGGAGAGGCAGGCTTCCCGCTGAGTGAGAACCTGATGCAGGACTCAATTCCAGGACCCTGGAATTATGACCTGAGCCAAAGGCAGATGCTTAATGACTGAGCCACCCAGGCGCCTGGCTCAAGCATTATTTTTAATCCATTTCAAGTAGCATCCCCTTATACTAGGAAGTGAACTGCTCTGTAATACATGTAAATCAGAACAGAATGAACTATATAGAATACTTAATATTTTTAACCGTCTATTCTACAAAGCTTACATATTCTTTTTAATTACTTTTTCTTTTTGCAGCAAACCAGCTGGCAAGGACTCAATTTACACCCAGATCTTCCTGATCAGTTTTGAAGAAAATGATCCGGAAATGTCTACTTTACTATCTTCTCTTTCCTCTTTCTTTATATGCACCCTACAATAAGCTCAGATACTAAATTCGGCTGTTTGCTGTTTAAGTACATGTTTTTGTACATGCAAAGCACCAGGAAAGATGACACCGTACATGCGTGTGTGTGTGTGTGTGCGTGTGTGTGTGGTGATTTGTATACACACACTTTTTCTAGTTTTCTATTCTCCCTCAAAATAAAAACAAGCTTCTGCTAACATAAAGTAAATAAAAATATTCTTAATTCTAAAATATAGGAAATACAACTAATGACGAATGTAACATTTTAGTGGTTTAATGGTTTCAAAAAATAATTTAGGATTTAAAAAGGCGCTTCCACTCCAAATTGGGAAAGTTGTATGGATGCAACTACAGCAGGAGACTTTTGTTTAAAAATCACCTATAAAAACTAAAGAAAGTATGAAGGTTAATAGTTTTGTTACCTTGAACAAGTCACATATCCTCTCTGGGCCTCAGACTGCCCATTTTAAAATATGGAAGGTCACTGTTTTGCCTACTCTGTGGGGTAATTAGCAAAATAATGAGTATGTTTAAAGTACTCTAAAAAAATTCTAAGTTGAATGAACTCTCTGAAGAAGTTCAATGATCAGTTGATTAATATGATCCTGTTGATTAAGAATAAAAATGTTGGGGTGCCTGGGTGGCTCAGTGGGTTAAGCCTCTGCCTTCAACTCAGGTCATCATCTCAGGGTCCTGGAATCGAGCCCCACGTCGGGCTCTCTGCTCAGTGGGGAGCCTGCTTCCCCCCCTCTCTCTGCCTGCCTCTCTGCTCTACTTGTGATCTCTGTCAAATAAATAAAAATTTTAAAAAAATCTAAGAAAAAAAAAAAAAAAGAACAAAAATGTTCACTCACCATTTTAGACCTAATACTGAAAAAGGACATAAGGAAAACTAGTCCATGGCTATCCACTATATTTAAAACTTGTATAGAAACTGTCATTGCTGCAATTAGGGAAAGCACGAAGGAGTCCAGAAGCAGGTCCCAGCAACAATATAGTCTAAAAGACCACAATTTTGTTAGAGAGTCAGCAAAGAACAAAATTAGGCATGGTATGAGCTCAACTTAGACCCTGGCCAGGAAGATTTTTAAATTAGTAATGTTAACGAAAGGGCAATACTGTGAAGAAGTAGTGCAATAATGCACCCCTGGGGACATTTGGTAATGTCTGGAGTCATTTTTGGGTGTCACAACTGGGGGCAGGGGTGCTACTAAAATCTAGTGCACAGATGCCGGAGATGTTGTTGAATGTCCTAGTGTGACTAGAACAGCACCTAACAACAAAGAAATTAAAGTCTAAAATGCCAACAGCCCTGAGGTTAAGAAATCCTATTTAAAAGCAATACTATCCAGAAAATAGAATTTGATGATAGCACCACTCACTCACTCATTCATTCATTCAAGTATTTCCTGAGTACCCACCAAGTAAAGTTTCTATAATAAGCTCTGTCCTAGGTGCTGAAGAGTCTATAGTGACACAAAATAATCCACGACTTATATAAATATTGAGCATCTATATGGCCTTGAAAGGAATCCCAGAAACAGTCAAACAAGTTTACCAAGACCTGGAATGTTTATACCTTTTCTAAACACCTACCTCTAGGGCCTGCATTCGTTTTAACAGCATTTTATTTTCGTTGTTCTTAATCTTTTCTTCATAGAACTCCAGAAATGTTTTTTTGTAGACTAGTTTCATATTGTACTTCTTTGCCATTCTGTCCAAAACAGATTACTTAATGAAAATGTTTCTGAAATATTTATAATTCCTCTATAGTTTACTTTCACATAACAGTGACAATGTCTGGGGATCATCAAAAAACTATTATAAATTCACAACAGGAGAATACAAAATGAATGAAGAGTAACATGCCAATAATTACATCTATAAGATAACATGCATCCTAAATCTCAGTAAGTCACAGGAAACTCTATTACTGTAACAAATAGGTCAGGAAATAAAATGAAACTCTATTACTGTAACAAATAGGTCAGGAAATAAAATGAAAGCTATGAGATGGGGATGAACATCTATAAGGAACACTTTTCTATTAATTCCATTTTATTTAACTTGATCCCTCACAGTGGCATTAAGAACAGCTACCATTCCTTCTTAAAATAGTCTCTTTCATCTCTTGGATTCTCTGACAAGATACACTATTAATTTTTAAACCACATCTTGGGCTGCTTCAGCACAGTTTGTTTTACAAATTTCTTTTACCTAACTTCTAATGTTCTGAAGTTTGGCCCAGAGCATTACTCATTTTCCCTTTCCTGACTTCACACAGCATGCCAACAGCCATCTGTAGCTCAGCTCTCTCTTGTCATTCTCATTTATTCCACTGCTTCCTAGAAATCTCCACCAGGATGCGTCACAGGTATTCTCCAACTTTCCAAATCATGGCTGAACCCCACTAGACTGTTCTGCCAATCTTTGCTACTTCAGTAAATCTATCTAATGATTCATGCCAGAAACCTCAGAGTTCTCCATGCTACCATCCTCTTTCCAATGTTCCACACACCACTACATCCTCTGTTTACCTATAAAATATTCTTCAAGTAGTTCTTAACACTTCTTTGGCCACCATCTTGCTTTAACTATTACCACCACTCAGCTATACTACATTGCTTGTTTCCCTGCTTTCATTCTTATTCTCCCTCAATGAATTTTCCAACTACAGCCAGACTGAGCTTTCAAAAAAATACATACATGTCACTTCCCTCATCTACGCCCTGCAGTGGCTTTCTAGCCCACTTAATAGAACACAATTCAAAAGTCTTTTGCATGGTCTCTAATGTACTCATCTATAAGAAATGTTTCCTTGGGGTACCTGGCTGGCTCAGTCCATATAACTACACAGTATGTGACTCTTGATTTCAGGGTCATGAGTTCAAGCCCCACACTGGGCACAGAGCTTATTTAAAAAAAATAATAACAACAATGCTGCCTCATCTTGAGCCACTTGGGCCCTGATTCCTTACAACCCACACAATGGTTTTCCTTCAGCTCATTCACATATATTGTCCCTATACCTGGAACATTCTCCCTTCTAGTCTTCAACTGGCAAACTTCTTTTCATCCTTTAGATGTTGACTTAAACATCACTTCTTCACAGGTGGATTCCTTAAATACTCAATTACATGAGGTCTCCCTGTTATACTGTTTTTTTCCTACTGCATTTGCCAAAGTTTATAGTATCTGTATTTGTTGACAACATAAGGAGTCTGGAGGATGATCTCAGGTAGAAGGTAAAGGAGGAGATGAAGGGAAAATAACTCCTCAACAGTCAATGAGAAGGCTTATGAAGTGAAAGGACAATGGGGAAAGGACAATGAAAAAGAATATATGTGAGAGCCACTGGGATATGTATGTAAGAGACATATGTAAGACAGTGCTCCCCAGAATTTGAATTAACCCTTCTTGGAAAGACAATGTAAGTTAAGAGTCTCTTTTATTCTAGGCAGTTCACTTTCTACCATAAGTCTCCAAAATAAGCCTTCAGAAATAAAATCAAGTTGTACACCTTAGAAATAGCAAAATTACAAAGAACTAAGACTCAATTTGTCCAATTTGAGTAAGTTTGCCATATAAAAGCTATGTTTTTGCTCATTTTAATAAAACTGCAAAAGAACATCTCAAATTCCTATGCATTTTTCAGATCCTGTCTCACTGAATGTGTAACTGTTTTAGTAAATAATCTTTAAAAAATTTATATTATAGTGATGACTTGTAACTATATATGTGTATCACCATTAAACAAATTAAGTACAAAAATTGCTAGTGCTTCCTAGCATTTAAAAAAACTTTCATTTTAAAGGCACCTGAGTGGCTAGAGGACACCTAGAACCAGGTGCATGAGTGGAATACATTCTTGAATCAGGATCTTTTTATCAACACTGCCTATGTGATGTACGAAAGTTCAAAGCTATAGTGAAATGTAAAACAACCTTCAATACCTATACTCATCAAAAGAGGAGCTTTGCTTTATGAAGACTCATTTATATTACAAAGTTACTAACAGTTTAAAAAAATATCTTTCACTATTTTCAATGTCAGCTATTTTCTGCCACAAGATGAAGGCAACAACAAAGTCTCCCTTTCTTATCTACAGGATAAAGTAATTCCATGGATAAAAGAAAACTAAATACGCAAGGTATAAGAAGCTATGGCATAAACCTGAACTTGAGGTTAGTTTTTTCTTTTTACAAAGCTATACTTTTTCTTTGGGTTCCATTTAAAATAAGAAATGAACAAAAATACTAATTTTTTTTCTTTCTTTCTCTTAAGGCAAAAAGAGAAAAGTAACAGATTAATGACATTCTTACTCATTTAGCAATGGAAAATAGACCAAGAATTCAGGGACATCCACAACACCTTCCAAGTTGAAGTCATATTTGCAGCCAAATAAAGGATAATCTCCTTTCTTCTGAAACTTCACAGTATATATCTCATTCCCAAATGATTCTGTTTCTGAAGCTTCAAGGCGTCTTCTATTAAAGGTTATCCCCAAACCAAAATAAAAAGATTAAAGCTGTTATTAGCTCAGACTTATTCTGATCAGATTATGCATGTGAAAAAACTAAAAGATGCAATTTTAAAAAGATACCTGATCAGCTTTTTAACTGGATTTGAACTACTTTTAAGAACCAATACATTAACAGATAATTCACATGCTCGCTAATAAAATTAGGCTGGAAACAGGCTTCACTTCATTATCATGACTACTAGCTAAGTCTTTGAGTATCTGGAGTTTGTGTAGCACTACGACCTCTGGCTGGGTATAGCATAGGTCTCCAATTTACCCACAAAGATGTTTTAAAGATTCATCTGTAAATCTACGTTTTGACCTTAAATGTTGAGTATCTACTCAAATACATTATCAAAGTATTCAGCCCTTATAAGATCAACATGGCATGTTTTATGAACTCTATTTGTGATAAACATTTGCTACTTTACAATAAGCCTAATTCTGAGTATCTTATAAACAACAATATATCAAAAGCACTTACATCAGTTCAAAGCTATTGGGAGTAGTACCAATAAAATAACCTCCAGGGCTCAGTCTCTCACAAGCATTTCTGAGCATCATGTCAGCCTGCTCATAGGATTCAAATGAATAATGACAGACAAACTGACAACTGCAGATGTCAAAGCACATTTCTGGGTCACGAAATTTGTTAATCAAAAGTTCCTGAAACAAAATTAAAAATTAAAATGGGTCAAGATTTTGATGTTAACTGCAATATAAAAACTTTTTTGCTAATTAATTTCTAGAATTAGGGTCCTTAAAATAAAGTAGATATGTCCTCCCAACCACCTATTCTTTCTCTCATTATGTATGAGGTCCACAATGAAATGATCTTTTCCTTTTGGTTCAACAGAATTTGATTCCCATTTTCAAGGTAATTTAAAAACTAAAAATGAAATCATGTTTCAAAATCTATCAACCAAATACAACATTTAAGAAAGTTGATGCTTTATTTGGCTTTACTTCAAGGCTAAAGTAAAATATCAAACAGTAATTGTGATTAAAAAAAACCCAAACATTCACAAAGCTGGCCTTTGGGATACTTTTTAAAAGTGCCAGTGTTTTTAAAGGTTTCCAACATTCTAGCAGTATACTACCATTTTTCCTTCTCACTTTCATAATGCCTCTGTAGTTCTTAAACTTAATAGTTAAGAAATTCAGAAACAAGTAGAAAGTGCAAAACATCAAATTCTGATATATTGGGAAACTACCCTAATAAATTATAAGGTAAACAAAATGTAAGTTCAGTTCTATTTTAAAATACTGGAAAATAAATCTTGTCGGAATAGAAAAGCAACAAATGATTTCTAAACTTCAGATTATTAGAAGTAAAAAACCCCCAGAAGTACTCAGTGGGTCATCTAAGGAAATTTATCATTAATAGAATTTCTAGCTGAAACTGAAAATACATGTCCTGAGACTTTCAGTGTTTGAAAGTACATTCTAAAAGAACTAACTGCTTTTTAAACACATCACTCAGCCAAACTAAAAATATTAAACATAAATTGACAAACTGAAAAAAATTCTGTACCTTTGAACAATCAGCAGTTACAAATTCTGCACTGAAAATAAATTCGTTATCACGACAACGATTTTTCATGTCCTCATACCGCTGCTGACACTGTTTGACAGAAACATCAGCGATATCTGGAAGCAGGACAGGCGTTAGTAACTGGCAACAAAGGCCCACAGAGATAAGATGTAAATACAAAGATGGTTCAAATCTATAGACATTTAGCATGAAATCTATCCTTAGTAAGAGCAAAAAAGGTTCTATTTCCTTTAAAACAAAAAGTATCTCTTCCAATGTAAATGCTTTATTATTTTTCAAAAAGATAAAAAGCTTTCTCAATAGGTAGTGATAACAGAAAAGTTCTACCATGATTTTTAAATGCTTATTCCAAGTTAAATGCAAAAAGTTTAGACTCCAATTTGAATTATAAAATGTAAACTATATGCCCAACTTTGAAAATATCAAGTTTATTTTTTCTTAATAAAAAGTTACTTGCTTTTTCCTGTGGTGGGATTTGCAATGGTGATGCAAAAGCACTGGAAAGTAAAGCTGGCACCTTATCATGAATACAAGCTAGTAGTGCACAGGTAATACTTGATATCTTCTTCACCACTATAAACTAGCATGGGGGAAAAAACCAATTTCATTTTTAAATGTTCTTGATAAAGCAGTAAAAGTTGATTTTATTAAATCTTGGTGCTTTTTCAATATTCTGTGTAATGAAATGGAAAGTAACAGAACATCTGTGTTCCCTAGTAAAGTCTGAACAGGACTGGTGTGACTGTGCTGTGAGCTGTACTGGCCACTTTTTTTTTCTTTATATAATTTTTTATTATTTTATTACCATATAATGTATTATTAGCCCCAGGGGTACAGATCTGTGAATCGCCAGGTTTACACACTTCACAGCACTCACCATAGCATATACCTTCCCCAGTGTCCATAACCCCACCACCCTCTCCCTACCCCCCTCTCCCCAGCAACCCTCAGTTTGTTTTGTGAGACTAAGAGTCTCTTATGGTTTGTCTCCCTCCCGATCCCATCTTGTTTCATTTATTCTTTTCCTACCCCCCAAACCCCCCACGTGGCATCTCAACTTCCTCATATCAGGGAGATCATATGATAATTATCTTTCTCTGACTTATTTCGCTAAGCAAAATACCCTCTAGTTCCATCCATGTCGTCACAAATGGCAAGATTTCATTTCTTTTGATGGCTGCATAGTATTCCATTGTATATCTATACATCTTCTTTATCCATTCATCTGTTGATGGACATCTAGGTTCTTTCCATAGTTTGGCTATTGTGGACACTGCTGCTATAAACATTCCGGTGCACGTGCCCCTTTGGATCACTACGTTTGTATCTTCAGGGTAAATACCTAGTAGTGCGATTGCTGGGTCATAAGGTAGCTCTATTTTCAACTTTTTGAGGAACCTCCATGCTGTTTTCCAGAGTGGTTGCACCAGCTTGCATTCCTACCAACAGTGTATGAGGGTTCCCCTTTCTCCGCATCCTCGCCAGCATCTGTCATTTCCTGACTTGTTAATTTTAGCCATTCTGACTGGTGTGAGGTGGTATCTCATTGTGGGTTTTTTTTTTTTTCACAGTCAAGTGTTTTCACTTGAAAGCAGTACTGACAGACAAACTGGTTACTTAGACTTTATAATCTGGCAGACATTTTCTTGAAAATGAATCAAGTGAGCCTCTCACTTCAAGCAAAATAAAGGACAGTATTTGTTACCAAGGATAAAACCTGAGATTTCAAGTGAGAATTACAACTTGAAACACTTGCGTCTACCACCATGGGCTGGGCGTCTTCCCAATACTTAAAACGTCTGATTGGTGGTAACATTAAAAAAAATGTGATTTCTTGATGTCAACATTTAGAAGATCTGCATACTATTAGTGGACATTATTTTCCAAATATCACAAAATCTTGCAGGGCAGAAAATCCATTCAAAGCACAAGACAGACCAATGGATTTAAGTATAACAGAATACAAAAATTTCACTGACACAGATTCAGATGCTACATTATAACTATCTTTAAGGAACTACCACCTGTGGAGTTTGGATACAGTATGAAAGATTAATATGCTCAATTATCTGAAAGGACTGTTAAAGTAGCCCTTCATCTTACAACTACTTTTCAAATAACACATCTCAACACAGTGAATGCAGAAACAGGTATGAAAACCCAGTTTGTCTCCTATTATTCCAGACTCTAAAAGTATTCGGAAAAATATTTAAAGTGCCAGTCTTCTCGCTAAACTTTATGTCTTAATAAAAATACTATTTTAATTCTCAATTTTAATTTCTATAATCAATAGCTATAGCTACATATACAGTACCTTTCTGGGTCATAAGGTAGCTCTATTTTCAACTTTTTGAGGAACCTCCATGCTGTTTTCCAAAGTGATTGCACCAGCTTACATTCCCACCAACAATGTAGGCGGGTTCCCCTTTCTCCGCATCCTCGCCAGCATCGGTCGTTTCCTGACTTGTTAATTTTAGCCATTCTGACTGGTGTGAGGTGGTATCTCATTGTGGTTTTTTTTTCACAGTCAAGTGTTTTCACTTGAAAACACGTCCTGGTGGTCCTCAATTTTTTTTTTTTTAAGATTTTATTTATTTGATAGAGATCACAAGCAGGCAGAGGCAGGCAGAGAGCGAGGGGGAAGGAGGCTTCCCGCTGACCAGGGAGCCTGATACGAGGCTCCATCCCAGAACCCTGAGATCATGACCTGGGCCAAAGACAGATGCTTAACCATTTGAGCCACCCAGGTGCCCCAGTGGTCCCCAATCTTAAAAATAAGGGTATATAGTGTTTATAAAACCAAAAAAGTTAAGTGTTAATTTAGGTAACTTCACAGGTGATGCTATGTACTTCACCTCATTGGAAGAATATAACATCTGCTTGTCCCACTTTAGTGTTAGGCTTAGTGTTAGGCTGACTAGTGAGTTCAGGTGCTTGATTCATTCAGTTACTAAATTCCATCAACCTTTCTCACCTAATAGCTTTAGCAACTTTTTATGATTGTTGCTTAGATCTATCATTTCATCAAGGATGGAAAATAGTGATTTTCATCAGTGCTACTGCACTTATTCATTCTGATTTTTTAATATAGTGAAATTTCCCTTTTCAACCACTTGGTCATCTTGAAATACAGTTCACATAGGGTAAGGAAGATACCCCAACCGTTAATTTATGAATTGCAGAATGATGAATAAGTTTCCTAGCATCCTCCAAGGGTGAACAACAGGTTTTTTTCTTTTATTTGATGTGTTTCAATCCACTGAAATCACTATTCCTTTTGATGATGAAACTGTCCTCTTTGGCCAGTGGAAGTTTCAAGTTTGTGCTTTAGACGTGGCTCCATCTTTGATTACTTCCCTCCTTTTAGGGAGGACAAGTTATCCCAGGCTCATTAACTATATTATGTAACACCATCAGTAAAATCTCAAAACTCATTTGAAAAAACACCCATCTCAAACACAGCCACAGATATCTTCTTCTAAGATATTTTAGTGTCATGTGATACTGAGATTCTGTTTATTTTCCAATTACCTGATGGATCACAAATTATTCTTTCCCATGTCATTATTTATCTTACCTGTACAAACTAGCTTGTTAATTCTTCCCTTTTTCCACTTGAGCAAATCTCCACCTTTACCACATCCCAGGTCCAAAACAGTGATATCACGTTTTTTTTTTCTGTCGTACCTTTTCTAAAAATTCCCCTAAAAGAGAAAAATGTCATAATAATCATTTCTCCATTTTTACTACAGCATGAACCGTTACACCTAATACCTACTAACACCTGCCTGACATTATTATAAACTATTACATGTTCTTTTATGTAGTTAATTTGTAACTTCTGGTGAACATTTCATTTATATCAGAATATATGTCTAATATTTTAGAAAGTTCATATAGGTTTGTGAAGGTTATTTTTAGAATTTGACTAAACATTGAATAGCAGCCATTTTAAATTCTAATTAATATAAGAAAGTTCAACACTTGTTCATATGAAAAAAATTACTCATAATTTTTGTAGTTTTCTCTTTCTAAAAACTAAACATTTAGCTTATAATATACCTAACTAATTCAAAATAATTATGGAATAATAAGAGTGCCTGACTTTTATAAAAGATGTCAGGCTTACCACCAAAACCAATACAAGAACTAGTCCAAAAACTATACATACCTCTTAATTTTACTGTGATGAAAATTCTTAAAACACTCCAAAAAAATGAAATCTTTCATCCCAATCTACCAAATCACATTGATAACCAATAAATAGTATCAATAGGACCCCATACATCAATAGTCAAATGGTTCAAATATCAGTTAAAGGCATATTAGTATTCTTAGACTACTGAAGTATTCAACAATTCTAAAACCTGATATAATACGGATTTGTAGATCTATTCTTCCTCTATTACTCTGTGTTTAACATTTCCTATTTCATGTGTGTACCATTTTGACTGCTAAAATATTCACAGGGAGCCTGGCTCAGGTCATGATCTTGGGGTCCTGGGATCAAGCCCTGTGTCAAGTTCCCTGCTTAGCAGAAAGGCTGTTTCTCCCTCTCCCTTGCCTCCCACCATCTGTTTTCTCTCTCTTAAAATAAATAAGCAAAATCTAAAAAAAAAAAAAAAAAAAAAAAAAAAATTCTGTATGAATATTTCTGGCTTTCACTGTCTGTAGGATCTTAAAATAATTTCAATAGAAGCACAAATGTTCTATATTTAACTTTCTGCTATTAATCTTAAAAAAAACAGCATAACCAGAGTGCCCAGGTAGCTCAGTTGGTTAACTGGTCAACTCCTGATTTTGGCTCAGGTCATAATCTAGGGTCTTGGAATTGAGCCACATATCAGTCTCCAAGCTCAGTGGGGGATCTGGTTGAGGATTCTCTCTCTCCCTCCCTCCCTCTGCCCTTCCCCCAACCCATACGAGCACACACACATGCACTCTCTAAAATAAATAAATCTTTTTTAAAAAATAGCGTTAACAAATATGGAATAAGTAAAAAACGACTCTTTATTTCCATATAGTAAGACTAGTAAGAGGGAAAATCATCATGAAACATTACTCAGAGATACCTTTTTCACATTCAAGCAGTTACTAAGCTGTACAAACAAGAAAGAAAAAAATGAATGACCAAGAATGGGCATTGAGAAGAGAAAGGGGAAAAAAGCCAGAGAAGGAAGTAGAATAGACCACACTGATTACACCAGGACCAGAAAGACAGGTGCAGATAGCAATGCACCCATTAAGGGAGTTGCTTGAACAGCTGAAGGAGGAAAGAAGAGTATAAATATGTGGGGAGAAAAAATTTTTGCTAAGTCTGACTTAAGACTTTTTAAAAATGACCTGTTTCCTTGATTATAAAAATAATACAACTAATGATGTGAAAAAATATGGCTGAACTTAAAATATTTATTCAATGAATAAACATATAAATAAATGACACATCAGAAAAAAAATACCCTAGAAGTTATCTATATTGCTGAGGATGATGAGGAAAAGAGGAAAAGAAATTAGGACCAGAGTCCATAAATTACCTTAGAAGTATAGATTAAAAATGCCATAATACTAACCTTAAAAATAAAAGGGGAGGGGTTGACGAGCCAACATTCAATTACCCTAGCTGAAAACTAGTAGAGACAAATAAGTCATATTTCTGTAATAAAACACGAATATTAAAAACAAAGTAAGACAGAAAATATTAGTATGTGTTCAAAATAATGACCCTAGTTCCCACTCCTAATACTATTCAGAATGAATAATGTACCTTTAAAAATTATTCAATTATTGGGAAGCCTGGGTAGTTCAGTCAATTAAGCATCTAACTTGATTTTGGCTCAGGGTTGTGGGATCAACCCCTGGTGTCAGGCTCTGAACTCAGCGGGGAGTCTGCTTGAGATTCTCTCTCCCCCTCTTCCTCTACCCCTCCTGTTCGTGCTCTCTCTTTCTCTCATTCTCGCTCTAAAATAAGTAAGTCTAAAAAAAAAAAAAAAACAGGTAAATTATTGGGGCACCTGGCTGGCTTAGTCTGTAGATCATGTGACTCTTCATTTTGGGGTTTTAAGTTCAAGCCCCATGTTGGGTGTAAAGATTATTTTTAAAATCTTTAAAATAAATAAGTAAAATAAGAATTAGTAAATTATCATCAAAACTAGTAGGAAGTACCCATAATTAGCACCTTATTCTTTCTAGTGTAATCATGAAAGCATTTTCACTTTATCTGAGGCTGGCTTTTTAAAAAAACCAAACAACCCAAAAACCTTACTTAAAAAACTTCAAAACCCACTGGCTTTTAAAAATTCTCTAAATTTGGGATGCCTGGGTGACTCAATTGTTAAGCATTTGCCTTCAGCTCAGGCCCTACATGGGGCTTCATGCTCAGTGGGGAGCCTGCTTCTCCCTCTGCCTGCCACTCCCCCAGCTTGTGCTTTCTCTCTCTCTGACAAATAAATAAAATCTAAAAAAAAACCTCTAAACTCACATAAGGAATCTGACTACTTAATATGCTAGATATACAAAGCAATAAATATATTCTGAATCAGATTTTTACCAAAGATTTCCATTTTAATTCTAAAGATGAGTTTCCATAAATAAAATGCAGGCTCCAAAAAGTTCAATGTCTTCATCAAGTCTCAAAGTAAACTTTATTTTTCCCTAGACACTTCACAAGAAAAACAAGTACAATGAAAAATCTCCACATAACCTTTTGACTCATTAAAGGTCTAGAGATGAAAAATCATGACCCTGCCCATTTTCTTGACTTAATAGAAGCTGAATACTTAATCCAACATTATGTCACTATTCTAAAACTATTAAGAGTAAAATAGAATAATTACTTAATAGCACTAGATAATCTTAAGTATAAAAGGAGCACACTGCCTTTTGAAAGCCTAATTAACTTATGAACTTAATATCAATTAAACTCATATATCTTAGGTAGTCCAAAAGTAAATATGAAAAGAATTATCTTGAAGGTCTAGTTTTAATTTTTGCTCCAGTTTTATGAAGTCAAGACTTGGTAATTAATGAACAGGAAGGAAAGACTTAACAATTTAGCATATGAGTAATCATTCAGGGAAAAAAAGAAACATAAGCAGAAATAAAAAATTCCAAGCTGTAAATCAAAAATCAATCAGTCATACCAATGAGGACGCTTTTCATCCAATTATTAAAGTTTCTTAGGTAAAAAATACGACTTTGGCTACGCTTCTCCAAACCAACTTCCTGTAGTTCATTATAGTGGGCAGCCACGGCTGAACTGTGTCCCTCTTCTACCTTCTGAAAATAAGAGAATGGAACAAAATTTAGAATCAGAACATGGCAAAAATAAGCTAAAAGAGCATCTGACCTATATAAAGATAAAATACAAATGAAATTGGTAAACTTGAACAAGCAATGGGATGGATGACAAAAATCCTACTAATTATAATCACACCTAAGATTTGTTCTCCCCTGTTCCCTATTTTTAAAAACATCTCTTGGTTTAAGATTTTCATCTTGATCTTTCATCTGTATAATTTTGGTCTCAATGTCTAAATAAAATCAGTACTCTTCCAGAGTTCTGATTTATTCAATTCAATAAATGTGAGTCAGCGGATTGGGTTCCTACAAGAGAATAAAATAGGAACAAGTTATATTTTTTTATATTATTATGTAAAATTGATGCAAGCATTAAATGAGATAACACACACAAAGGAATTAGAACTCATTAAGCTATGTTCAGGGTCAATATTTTTTGTTTTTTCTTTTAATCTATTCCAACAGTTTCCATTTGTGCTACCTACCTAAGACACCAAGCATTCTGTAAGAATGCCACAGTATATAAAGGGCTTCAAATTCCCACACTTCCCTGTTCAACCAAAGTGCTTCATCTTTTACCTGTCTTATGTATCAGGTTTAATATTTTTACTTGGAAAAAAGGGTCTTGCTGCTGGTAAAGTTTGAAAACTGTGTGTATAATACAAGCTCCTCTCTGTTACGAGGATTCACACAGTACCAATGGCAAAAGCCTGGCCTAACACTTTACTCTCCAGGACTGATGCCAGAACTTTTACTCATTCACTAAAGTACTCCTTCCATCCAAACTCATCTTCTGCCTCAGATGCCTGCATAATATAATATTCCCAGATGAAAATAACTTGCTGTCCCTTGTTCTACACTACCCATCCAAAATATCAGGCTTATGTAACTACCCCAATGAGAAGCTGGAAACAATATAGTTAAAGGAATCACATTAAAGGTGGGTGTAATGTTGAAATTTATCTTTTAAGTCATAATCTCTTCTATTTCTGACACAGGAAAGTGATGAACACATAATAAAAAAGGAAAAAAGTATATCATTTGGAACTTAACACTTGTCTTTTTTAAAACACTGAGAAAAAGCAAATTATAAAAACTAGCTTTCAGGTTTCTAGTGAAATTAGAGTTCCTAAATAACAAAAATTATCTCAATTAGCATTAAGTTTCACCTAAATAAAAGCAACTAAATTACAGGAGTTAAAAGCCTACTCTATCTTAAGACATTATCTATTACTAATAGAACATTCTTAAGGTTTAAGATTAAATAAAAAATATTCACAACAGTTCCACATTTCAATGACACATCCCATTATGAATAAAAAAATACATTCAACATACTTTTTGCTTTTCAGGAACATCCTCAAGTTCTATTTTTCTCTTTTTCTGTGTGCCATCTCCAGTAGAAGGTTCATCTTTTGGAAAATCATCCGTTTCCATTCTTCTTTTCCTTGAAATGCCTTCATCATCACCAGAACCTTTTTCCTCTGGGACAATTTCAGCATCAAGTTTCCTTTTCTTGGTTGGAGTATCTTCCCCACAACTAGAACTTTCCTTTATAAGATCATCTTCAAATTCCATTTTTCTCTTTTTTGGTGTGTCTACTTGTCCACAGATAGGAGCCTTTTCAGAAAGGCCAGTCCCAGGAGTGGTTGTGTTTTCATTAATACTGAATGAAGATTCTGTTTCCAAATCTACTGATGCTTCTGCATCTTCAAGAGAGATCTTTCCACACTCCTCTGCTTTTGCAGAATTTTCCATTTTTGCTTACTTAGATAGTAAAACTTCATGAACTAACACTGGAATGGCAAAAATTTGATATTACTTGTAAACACAAGTACTGAAACTTTAAATCAATTTTAACCAGAAGCCAGCCATTTCATTTCAGTAACCAACTAGGAGTTTTTCAAAAATCTCATTATAGTGAGAATACTGAAAACATTAACTGATATATGTTACAGATGAATCTCTGAATATATATGGAAGTACTAATTATAATGCCTAAACATACACACAATCTTACCCATAAAAGTCATTACTGGCATTGAAACTGACTGATAAGTTGGGGGGGTGGTTATTACACAAGCCCTAGTTCCATTTCTATTCTGATCCTCAATTTATAGCCTTGGTTCCCAAATTGTGAGCTGGACACTATAACAAACTTGTACAGGCACAGCAGGACACTTTAAAATTTTAAGGGAAACCCTGGTATCTGACATATGGAAGATACCACGAATACAGCTTCAAATAGAGCAGCGTCAACTGAACAGACCGCACTACATTCCTTTCAATGCTATCAGAACCTGTGAAGCTGAGATTTTGGTGGCACCACAGGAAATCAATGTGAAACAGGAAATGAAGTTGGCAATGTCAAATCTTATTGCAAAGCTTGAGAAACTGTGCAGTACCCAATAGGTGTACACATCCCGTTAGTAAGCACTGATGGTTAATGAAAAATTAAACACAAACATTATTTTTTCCTTTAAACGTGTGTATTATTTTTTAAGTACTTATTAAGACATAAATACTAAATTCTTTGGATTTAACTACTTACTAAGCAGAACTGGTGGGTATTTCTTTTGATCTACTGATACTGAAAAAATAAAAATTCAGAGACTAAGGGCACCAAGAACAGGAAAAGTCTGGGAACCTACAGTTAACTTCTGAAATCCTTATTTCATAATGGGTGCCAGAATTAGAAAGTGAAGACAGCAGAAATAGCTTTGGACAAGAAGTTTCAAAACCCAGTCTGCAACTTAATGACCATTAAGTCTCCTTCAAATGTTCATAGGCTTATGAGTAAAATGGAAGGGAGAGAGAAATAAGTAAACTATGGAACAGGAACTTATTAGGTTATTTGACAATTCTACTATACTTCAACTACAGAGGATCTCAATAAGGCACTATGTGGTTAGTCTTCAAGAATCTTACAATCTATATGCCACTTTTAAAATGTTAGGCTGTGGGGCGCCTGGGGGGCTCAGTGGGTTAAAGCCTCTGCCTTCGGCTCAGGTCACGGTTCCAGGATCCTGGGATCTAGCCCAGCACCGGGCTCTCTGCACAGCGGGGAGCCTGCTTCCTCCTCTCTCTCTCTCTCTCTCTCTCTCTGCCTGCCTCTCCACCTACCTGAGATCTCTGTCTGTCAAACAAATAAATAAATCTTTTTTAAAAAATAAAATGAAATAAAACATTAGGCTGTATTATTCCAACCAAACGGAGAAGGGAGAGTAAAAGTCCAAAAACTGGTGAGATTCAACAAATTCAAAACCTGAAAGTTAAAAAAAGGTGGGCGAAAAGTCTTTTGAGTGAAGAAATAGAACAAGAAATGAAGCTGCTTAAGAGAATGGGTAAAAACAAGTCCTTATAAACCAGGAAGGGTTTCAAGGGATATTAGTTTTCACTACCCAAGGTGTAGGTAACAAAATACCAAGACGTGCCAAACTAGGAAGAACTGCATCAGAGGGAAACACACACACACACACCCAGAAACGTAATTTTCAGTATAACCTTTTAAAATGATTATGTAGTAATACTGGCCACCAAATTATCAAATGTCTAGGTCAGAATAAACCGCACAGAATTTTAAAGGACCGCAGAAATGGGTAAGGTTAAAAACGGAATCAAAGTGCAATAATGAATAAACTCTAAACTAAACTGAGCTGCCCCTCAGAATCCTCAAGGAAGCAGCTCAGGGTAATGATTAAACTGACAACGAGATGGAAATGCATTAAATACCCAAATAGGCATTTCGACCTGGCTTTACAGTCACACCTCTGAGGCAGGCCACGTCTCCATCATTTCAGTTTCTCAGAGAACGCCCGAGCCCTCAGGACCCCGAGGCTTAATCTCAAGCAGGATGACCCTTACACTCTGACCCGTCAGCTAGACGGGGGTCCACTCGGGAGACCTAAGAGGACGCAACAGAGGCGAGAAGGGAAATATTCAGCCAAAATCACCCTCTTCCGTCACTGGCGCGGCCTAGCTCTTACTAACTCTCCAGCTCACATTTCCGATCCGCACCTCAAGCAACACAGACGCTACTTCGGATCCAACAATCTCTCCCCCAGCCTGCCTTCTCAGCACCGCCGAGGTGCGGCCTGAGACAGCTCTTAGGGCTGCACCCGCTCTCGGGTGCAAGGCTCGCTCGGTCTGAATGAGCGACAGAGCCCGCCGACTCCCACAAGTACTGCCCACTTAGCTTCGGGTTGGGTGCACAATAAACCTCCAGCGAACGGTACTGAAGGAACAGGACTACCGCGAAGCGAGCCCATGTCAGGAGTTGGGAGTGCCCCTTCCATCGCGAGGGCGACGGAGGGACTAAACACAAAGAAGAATGGCCAGAGTTGCAGACACCACACTTACCCACACAGCCATCTACAATTCTGTTTGCGGAAGCGGCGGTCGGCGCCACGCGTGTGTTGATACGCCACTTCCGGGGAGTGGACGGTCACCTGACGCCGCTCTCGGCTGCGAGTGGAGGGTCTCTCGACCTTCGCGCCGGAACTACGAGTCCCGTCGTGCCGCGCGCGGGGGCCTGCTGAGGGACGCGCGGAGCCGCACGGACAGTAGCAAGCACGTTGTTAGTGGGCGCGGCAGGAGGGCCCGGGAGGGTGCCGGCGGTAGGGGCGGGGAGCGAGCGTTCGCCTGAGCCCCTGGAGTTCCGGCACCCTGACCCACGCTTATCAGGTCACTCTGGTGAGTGCCATTAGAAGAGCTGTCTTTCGGCCTGTGCGGCGAGAAACGGCGGTGGCCTCAATCTCCTAAGAGGTAGCCAGGGCCCAAGATCTCTAAGGAACTGCGCAGGGTGGGGGGGGTCCAGAGGGCACCTTCAACCCCGGTGCACGTTGGGGAGAAGAACTAGGGCGCGAACCTGACACGTGCCCCGCGCCCCGCGCCCCACGCTCCTTAGGCTACGCTGGTAATTCCGTCCACGGGACGGGGGTTCTCCACACTGGCCCGCCCACCACCCCTGGCGGCCGAAAGAGGTCACCCCCGCCCTTCTCTGGCAGGCCTGTGGTTCGGCAAATCCTGTTTGGGGGACTGTTTTTCAGCTTTCTGCTTTGTAACCCTTCACTCTCTGCTATTACCTACGTCAGAAGATGGCTGAGGGGGGACCTGGGAGCCCCCGCCCTTGCAGTTTTAAAAAAGAGCAGTATCTTACTACTTAAGGACTAGCGGGTCTTTCTTTACTGCTATACTTGGGAAATCTCTGCCATACCTCCCTTCAAGGCCATTCGCATCTGTCAGATTTTGGAGAGAGGGGCAGCCCATTCCTGTTCTTGAGAAACCCTACGGTATTGTTATTCTGTGTTGGCTGGACTTTCTCCTACGGGATGGTTGGGGGAGAAAATGCACTTTCCATCCCCTGAGATTTCCACTAGAGAGTCCAAGGCACTTACTGTTGAAACTCGGAAGCTCCATAGTTTAGGTCTTTCATCCCGAGATAAGTAGGGTCAAAACTGTTATCTGTAAACTAAGGTCATTGATGCGTGTACATTTTAACGTTGTTGTGCCTCAGCGCCTCCACGTTAGTGGCGTAAAAACAGCGTGATTAGATTGACAGTTTTAAAAACGGGGCATGATTAGATTACAGTTCACCTTGAATTCTTTACCAGAACTGATCCCATTTAAAGCAGTTTTGCAAACGTGTTTTACTGGCCTACCTACTTGTCAGGAGATAGTTATATTAATGAGACTTCGCGTTAGGAATGGCAACATTTGCAGCCTGTGGTTTACCATCTAGTCATTTCCAAATTGTGGGCATTAACCTTTCTGAGGTTGTTGACCCTTTATAAACTTTGGACCAAGAATGAGGCCTATTTTTAACAATGAGGATGAGCCATCAATTTCAGATGACTGTGCCTGTACTTTTTATTATATGCAATGAGCTGTGTTGAGAATTAATTTCAGTTCATATATATGGACCACTGCAAAGGTATAGGTCCTAGAGATTGTACTGTATACATATCCATCCATAGAACTAAGCGATGACATAGCACGTATTTGGTGGTTCTGATGCTGAAGTATTGAGATAATTGCTGTTGTAATTTTGGAAAAAAAATGAATCTAATTTTTGACTTTTTAAGAAAATTTTGATTAGATTTAAAGCCTCTTAACTGTGTGTTTATATAAACTCCATCATGAATTTATGTCATGCATGGGATATAGAGAGATCACATCTTAGGATTTTTATCAAACTTAACTGAAAGTCATGCAGTGTGAGTTGAGATAGAAGAACTCTTGAATGTAGTAGTAATGGAAGGAGTGAATGGGCCAGATAAAATTGTTTTTAGATTACTGTTGATGTTATTTGCCCCCACTATTACTTGAGTAATATCTAGTTTTCTGAATATTGAATTAAAATAATAGCTAATATTTTGGTACCTTCTGTGTGCCAGACTGTGCTTTACATATTTGAACTCATTTAATTCTTATGTAATCCAGTGGGGTAACTGCTATGAAGATGATGATGATGATGATGATTTTATAGATGAGGGTTAAGTAACTTGGCCAAAGTCAAGCAGCTGGGAAGTAGTGAACTAGGATTTGGACCCAGGCAGGCTGGCTCCAGAGAACAGAATCTATGCTAATAAAGAAATAGTGCCTGCTGGAAGACCAGCCTCAGAACTGGAAGTTGGCTCCCACCTAATACATTTTCAGAAAATTAATTGATACTTCTTAATGCTTGGTATTATGTTCAGAGAGAAAATAACTCGATAAAGTTGTTATCTTGCTATAGTATGAGTTCCAATAAGGCAAGGATCATCATTTTGTTCAATGAGTGCCTTGAATAGTGCCTGGCATACCTGGGTGCTTACTGAATGAATGAATTGCCAAGAAAAGTTTTAAAAATTCTTTTTTTTTTTAAGGAAATAACAGGATTTATTTCAGTCCCTTTATAAGATTTCTTTATGCACTGTTTTGATTTGGCTCATTATTCACCCAGCATGCTTTTGATTCTCCTGGTTTGGATTATACTTTTGTCAGTGTGAGAAAATGGAGTAGTAACTTGCAAGTTTTCTAAAGTAAAGGTAAGCAACAGATTCAGTAGATACCATTCCTCTTTTTAAGTCATTAGTTTCCAAAGTGCTAGCACTCAGAAGTGTAATTTTAAAGTGTGATTTCTGTTGTGCAGTTGAAGATCACATTTTTGAAACATAAAAGTAGATACAATCTTAGAGCTTCCTAAGCCTAATGGTTTTGTTGGAGGTAGAAGAAAGGTGGTTTGTGGAAGGTTTGTTTCTCCAGTCTTGGAAGAAGGACGTTCTTCCAGTCCACTCACCAAAGTCGTCCTACTGGAATTTTACTGCCTTTTTGGAGCACATAAGATATTCTTGTTCAAAAAGTTTTTGGTATGGTTGAAAGTGAGGTTTAGTTGAGAAATCTAACTTTATTATGTGTGATGCTTAGTTTTATATGTCAACTTGACTAGGCTATACTACTGTAGCTATTTAATCAAACACTAATCTAGGTGTTGTGATGGTATTACAAGATGTGGTTAGCATCTGCTTTAAGTGAAGGAAATTACCCTCAATAATGTGGGTGGGTCTCATCCAATCAATTGAAGGTCTGACTTTTTTTTTTTTTTTAAGATTTTATTCATTTATTTGACAGACAGAGATCACTAGTAGGCAGCGAGGCAGGCAGAGAGAGAGGAGGAAGCAAGCTCCCCGCTGAGCAGGGAGCCTGATGCGGGGCTCCATCCCAGGACCCTGGGACCATGACGTGAGCGAAGGCAGAGGCTTTAACCCACTGAGCCACCCAGGTGCCGGAAGGCCTGACTTTTAAACTGAAGTGTCTCAAGAAGAAAAAATACTTCCTCAAGCCTATCGCATTGATTTCTGCCAGTTTTTAACCTACAAGTCTGCCATATACATTTCAGAGTTGCTGGCCCGCATGGTTTTGTGAGCCAATTCCTTAAAACCTGTGTCTATTTAGATAAGTAATCTAATAATAGATTCCTAATACATAGAAATAAATATCCATTTACCTAAATATAGATAAACCTAAAAACGGATAGATAGTGATTTATGTATATATTATTTCCTGTTGGTTTTATATCTCTGGAGAAACTTGTCTGATTCAGAGTTTGGTGCTGAATAGTAATTCTAGAGGAACAGATTCTTAAAGATGAGTTTTCTGAATTGTCTCTAGTATTCTTGGAATTGGTTCCCTATTGGATTTAAAGGCACTAATTAATGACTATTTCCAGTGGTGAAAAGGGCACTGATAGCCCATGATATGATGTGGCAGTAGAGATATGCAAAAGGCAGAACATTATCATCTGTATGCAAGTATTTATAAAAGATATGGTTCTTGATGGGATGATCACATATTTGATGACTTAAAACATTTTTGTCAAATTACCAAGTATAATGAGACTGACTGGTTGCTAACTGCTAGCTGCTAACTATGCTGGAGAAAGGGAAAAGAAAAGGATGAGCTCAGGTCTTCTGATTCCCAGCTTAAGCTCTGTGAAAATAACCGGAAAGTTTTTAGGTCTGGCCTAAAGAAACTCATCTTCTGTACATGCGGAGCTGAGATTGCTGAAAACCAAACCCAGAACCCCATCCTGCAAAATGGTTGAATTACAGTGCAAAATGAATTCCCCATCTAACAGAGTATCTGCTGTTAGAGGACATTGATTGAGAAGGAATGCAGTCCTCAAATTCGGAATGGGGTACTGAACCCCTAAGTTTTGTTTTTTTTTTTTTAAGATTTTATTTATTTGACAGAGAGAGATCACAAGTAGGCAGAGAGTCAGGCAGAGAGAGAGGGGGAAGCAGGCTCCCCGACAAGCAGAGAGCCCGATGCAGGGCTCGATCCCAGGACCCTGAGATCATGACCTGAGCCGAAGGCAGTGGCCTAATCCACTGAGCCACCCAGGCGCCCCATGAACCCCTAAGTTTTAATCCCTTGTCTTTGCCAGCAAAAGCAGCCCTTCCACTCCTCTTTGAGAATTTAATCCTGCTTTGTGTGAAGTACCTGTAATGGCTTTTCCGAAGTTACTTGCCTTTCAAGACATAGCCCATTCTCCCTAAGAACTACCCCTACTACACTTCTTTGCTGCTAGACTCAAGTCCTAGCAGGCCCTCAAAGGAAAGCTACAAAATGTGTCCTATGAAGAGGAGTGCTTCACTCTAAAAACCACATGATTTTTTTTTTTTAATCTGTAGAAATCTGGGGAAATTTTGTGGGGTTGGATATTAAAGGTGGAATAATGGTGGAAGGAAAATAAAGTTGGACCAGGTCAAATTTATTGATATAGGAACCACTAAGCAAAGATTCTGGATTCACTATTACAGCTTGAGGGATCGGGAAAGGCTTCTGACAGTTTGGTTAGTTGGCTGAAGCTTGGCAAAAGGTGACCCATGCTTCCTGAAATTAAAGTAAAGTACCAGACCTG